TGCGGGTAAAAATGTTTATTTGCTTGGTGAGAACTGTGTTCTGTGTGTCTTCTAGTATAAATATATCGCCACTTCAGAATTGCTGAGGAACTGTGCTGCTATGAATTTAATATAAAATGTTTGTCAGATTGTGGCTCTTCTAAAGTGAGAAGTACTTGGCCTGTGGCCTCATTTCTTTATATGGCCACATAACTCAGTTATTTGTCAGCGTGTTATCGTTCATAGAGGCCGGGGGTGTCGGGCCTTGTTGTTCATTCTTAGCCTGCACTAGACTACAGTCACATGGAATCCTATTGGCTACAACCAGCACTTTATCTCTAGTTGAAGACATGTTTCCACATATATTATAAACTTGCTGTCAGGATTCTTTACGGTCTACCCCAGATTATCAACTGACTATATATGACCGCATGGTACAGAAATGCAAGCAGCGATATGGGTCATGTGATCCCTCAGCTGTCAATGGGTCATGTGATCTCTCATGAACTGTCATTTTCTTTTGGCCTCATGCACACTGGGTGTCAAAAACTCGTTTTGAGGGCGTTTGACATTTTTTTGTCTCTAAATACCCCTCCAAGTTAGGATATGTGTCCATGCACACATACAGTAGGCGTTTACAGGCGTATTAGAAGAAAAGCATTTAGAGGCAGAAAAAATGCTCAGGCATTCAGGAGAGGAGCATTTTGGTGGATGCGCTTGAGCACATCTAAACATGCCTAAATGATGGCGCCTTTAGCACTTGAGCGTTAATGGACCTAAACTCAGTTTCTAAACACGGCTTTAGGTGTTTTTTTTACACTGCTGTACTCCATCCAGGAGAAAAGGCATTCAGAAGATCTGGGCTTTAAAGTGACACTTAGGGCTCATTCACACTTGACTTTATTTCTAACTCTTGCCAAACGCCTCTATAGCGTTTGACAGGCGTTGGACAGGCGTTGGGAAGCGTTTTTAATGCTCCTCAAACGCTCCCCAAATGCTCCAAAAAATGCCCTATGCAATTGATAGGCATTTGCCAAGCATTAAAACTGCATCACAAACTCCTATAATAAAGTTAAATGGTATTATTGCTTCGCAACCGCATTACAACCGCACCGCAAAACGCCAGGTGTTTGCGGAGCGGCACCATAGACTTGAATGGGAGGCTTCAACTCTTCCTGACTCGACATGAGGCGTCAGTTTTGCCGCGACACAATGCTAATGCTTCCGTGTGAACAGCACTGTGTGCTGCTGTGTACCATGTTAAAAACGCTTACCAAACTTCTGTCTGATGCCTGTGACAAAGCTAATGTGAATGTAGCCTTAGGCTTCATGTACACGGGATGTTTTCTTTAACCCTCCTATAAGTCTTCTTCCTGGCAGCAGCCTGACACTTGGAAGGGCTCAATCACACTTGACTAATTTCTAACGCTTGCCAAACGCCGCTATAGCATTTGACAGGCGTTATTTGGGAAGCTCCTCAAATGCTCCCCAAATGCCCTATGTGCGCATTTTTGAATGCATTTGATAGGCATTTGCCAAGCATTAAAACCGCACCACAAATGCCTACAATGAAGTTTAATGGTATTAACGCTCGGCAAACGCCTCGCAAATGCCTGCCAGGCGTTTGAGGAGCGTCACCATAGACTTGAATGGTAAGCTTCAACTCCTCTTGACTCGACATGAGGCATCAATTTTGCCGCAACGCGATGCTAACGCTTCAGTGTGAACTGCACTGTGTGTTGCCATGTGTAGAATTTTCATAGGCGTTTGAGGAGTGTTAAAAACGCTTCCCAAGCGCCTGTCTAACACCTGCTAAACAAAGCTAGTGTGAACTTAGCCTAAGTGTAAAACATGTTTAGTCACAGTTACGCGCTTCAAGCATTTGGGCGTTAATTCATTTAAATTGTTACTAAACCCAGGCCCTGCATTCACTATATTTGGTCTCCTACAGTACACAGAACATAGAAATGCAAATATTTTAGTAAATATAAACTGCTAAATACCTTTTCTTATCAGCAGTTAGAACAGTCTTGTGACTTCTATCAGTTGTCAGCTGAGCACTGGTTAAAGCCTGTAGGAGGAGTTTTCGTTCTCCTCTGACTGTCCTATGAGGCTGCGTGACCCTTGACCCTCTGTCTGGACAGTGCTGATTGGCCCTGTGCTAGTCACATGCACCCTCCCAAAGAAAAAAAAACTCTATCAAAACACACTTAACTGAGCATGTGCAGAAAGACTTCAAGGTCTGGATGGATTGGGGACAGTAGAAGAAGGGAGGATCAGAGAAGACAGGATCAAACAACCTTTTTTACACAATGGTTAAGAATTGCTTTAACACATATACAGGTTGATTTTACTGTGGTGGGTTTAGTGACACTTTAATTGGTCAGAATAAATAATTTATTCTGGCTATTGAAATTAGTTATTGCTCACGTGCTAAATGTTCCTAGCATCAACGTGTATTTACACACATCAATCGTTTTTTCTGCCAAAACTCTGCTGCTCAAAGAAACAATGGCAGTGTTTTTTTTTTTCACCTGGCTTTAAACGCCTCTAAAAGTTTATATTTGCATGAACACATAGAATAACATGCAGGGGAGTTTAGAGGCAGAAAAAAAAAAACGCCAGACACCCAGAGGTGCAGATATAAAAACATCCAGGGTGCATGAGGCCTAAATAACATCCTTATTCTCCAAAAATAATCTCTACATATTCACTGCCTAATAGTCCTGTAATCTATTTTTCATGAATTTGTTTTTCATTTACACTTGTAGTTGGGGGGTGGTAAAACCCAGCAGTTGAGCTGCACAGCTATTGTTACTGCCTCTCCCTTTAGCTACAGAGGCAGTGGTCAAGGGTGTACTCATGCCATGGCCACAATGCTTTGCTTCGTGACTGCAGCAGGAATTATTGCCCCCCCCCCCTTCCCGGTGGGCACTACCGCCCCTTTAAAAACGCGACCCATGCAAGTGAATGGGGCTGTGCTGTCACCTCCCTACAACCACACACAACACATGCAGTTGCAGCACTGTAGTCTGGCATTTAGGGGGTTAAAACAGAGTGGGAGATGGCAATACAAGACCTCTTCACTGCCTGCCAAATGCTCTCTGAAAGCAATCCAAATACAGATCGCTCTTCAGAGAGCAGAGGTGGCTTAAATAAGGCCTTGCTGTGTTTTTTTTGCCTCTTTGTAACATTCTCGACAAGTTCTGTTTTTTTTTTAATAGTTTTAAGCTATTTAAGACTTTATCTTCCTTCCTCCTCATGTACTGTATATGGAATTTCAATGAACGGGGGCTGCCTTGGTGTGGAGGTTTATAGAAAAGTGCAAAAGACCCCTTTAAAGTAGGGATGCACCGACATTTCAGTGGCCAATATGAAAAAAAAGCAGAGATACAGGTGCCAAGAAAAAACCTCGGCCCTCGCCGCTGCACGCTGCCGCCACCGCCCCGCCACCTAAGTAGTTCTCAGCCTTACCTGAGAAGCCATTGAACGATCCCGGCGCTGGGCATAGAGATGAGTGAAGGAAAGATGGCCTCCACTCATCTCTATGCCCTTGGAGGACCGGAGTGATGTCACTTCCGGTTCCGGACATTTTTTTGGGGGTTTTGGGTTATTGACCCCATATCTCTCCATAAAGAGGACCAGTCACTAATTATTTCTATCACAAGGGATGCATGCATTCCTTGTGATAGGAATAAAAGTTAAAAATTTTTTTTTAAAGGGACAATGCAAAAAACAAAACAAAAAAACATTAAATATATTTTTTAAAAAAAGTTTTTAAAGTGCCCCCCGTCCCCCGGCCACGCCCAATGGTGTTCAAACCACACACATGAGTTATCGCCATGAACGTCGGAGCAAGAGCAATAATTCTAGCACTAGACCTCCTCTGTAACTTTACACTGCTAACCTGTAGGAATTTTTAAAGCATCACCCAGGGAGATTTTTAAGTACCCCAGTTTCACGCCATTCCACGAGCATGAGCAATTTTAAAACATGACATGTTGGGTATCTATTTACTCACCGTAACATCCTCTTTCATATTTTACAAACAAATTGGGGTATAGATTTTTTTTTTTTTTAATCAAAGTGTCATTTTTTTAAAAAAATACATATTCATTTTTAAAAAACTGCGCATTTTGGTTTCGGTTTTCGGCCAAGCGCATTTTGAATTTTCGGTTTCGGCACCAGAATTTTCTTTTTGGTGCACAACTACTTTAACCACTTCCCAGCTGGCCCATGTACATAAACGGCCGGACAGGAGCAGTGCAGGAGTGGGTGGCCACTTATAAACGTCCTCCCGCATCCCCTGCCTGTGCACGCTCCCTGGTCCTTCAGACACTGCGGAACACTGATTGTCTACGGGACCAGAGAGAAGGAGAAATGATTGCTTTTACAGCCTTTATGGGTGTAAAAGCAATCAATGTAAAAAAAAAATCTTCATCACCCCCCACAAGTAGTACAGTGACACTATGTTAAAAAAATAATAATAATATAAAAAAATTAAATAAAAATGTAAAAAATGTTTTTGAAAAATTATAATTTTTGGTTATAAACTCATTTGGGTTATTTGTTTTTACTAAAAAAGATAGCTGAATACATTTTGGTCAAGATTTATGAAGAAAGATTATTTATTTGCTAAATTTTATAAGAAAAACACTTTTTTTTTCAAAATGTTTGGACTTTTTCATTTATATAGCAAAAAAATAAAAATCCCAGTGGTGAATAAATACCACCAAAATAAAGTGTTATCTGTCTCAAAAAAATGCTAAAAAATTTAATATGGGTGCAGTGTTGCATGACCGTGTAATTGTCATTCAAAGTGTGATAGCACTGAAAGCTGAAAATTGGCCTGGACAGGAAGGGGGTAAAAGTGTCGGGACCTGAAGTGGTTAAAGGGATAGAGTTTTTTGGTGAGTGTTTTAAAGTGGAGTTCCACTCACCTGTCAAAAATTAAAAATCAGCAGCTACAAAAACTGTAGCTGCTGACTTTTTAAAAACAGCCACTTCCCTGTCCCTCGGTCCCGTGGTGTCCCCCCCGCAGCCCATTTCACCGGCCGTCCTGTATTTCAGGAGGCCGACATCTTCAGTGTGGGCACCCGGCTGTGACAGCTTGCGGCTTCACAGCCGGGTACCCACTGCACATGTGCGAGTAGCGCTGCACTTCATGAATGGTCCTGTAGTCTTCTGGGACCTGTCACGTGTCCCACAAGACTACAGGGAGGGAGGGGGGAGGACACCTTCTGTTTCCGATTGCCTAGGTGATCGGACCGGAAATGGGAGCGGGTACCTGTCAAATTTGGGTACCCGCTCCCCCCCGCTGCCAAAAGGTGCCAATCCTTAATGGGGAGCGGGGGAGCTGTCCTTAAAGCGGAACTTCCCCTTTTGGGTGGAGCTCCTCTTTAAGCAGCTGGCTAGAGGATCCACAAAGTGGAGTGAACGTCACACAGAGTGGAAACTATATGGCAGCACAGCACTTGGGGTGTTAACTTGGATTATATTGGATTATATGTACTGGGCACTTTTTTATGATTGCAGTTATTTACACATAGGGGTTGATTTACTAAAACTGGAGAGTGCAAAATCTGGGGCAGGCCTGCATAGAAACCAATCAGCTTCCAGGTTTTATTGTCAAAGCTTAACAGAACAAGCTGAAGTTAGAAGCTGATTGGCTACCATGCACTGCTGCACCAGATTTTGCACTTTCCAGTTTTAGTAAATCTCTCCCAGAGTGTGGTTTTTGCACTTTATATTGTCATCTATTGGTTTTAAATTTGCACGGATCGCTTTTTGGATTATTGATGTGAAAATTAATTTTTTTCATCTTTGCACATGAATGTGTCAGTTATATTGTCTGATTTTGCACTAATGATTTAGGATTGTACATGATATAGCACTGAATGAACATATTGTTCATAATATAAAAGTGTGGGGTATAGACAAAAGTGAGATAGAGGTCAGCCATGTTTGGACACTTTTTAGTTCTGTACCTTTAGTCCTCATGTACACTGGACGTTTTTACAGCTGCTGTTTCTGGATTTTGAAGTTTTTTTCTACAGCCAGTAAACTCCCCAGCATGTTATCCTATGTGTCCATGTACACATAGACTGGCCGGACTGTGGCCAGTGGGGGCTGGACTGTGGCCAGTGTGGGTAGAAAATGCCCTGGCATCAATGGTATTAGTGGGAGGAATAGTGCCCCATTGTCAGTAACAGTGGAAGGAATAGTGTTCCATCATTGGTATCAGTATGAGGAATAGTGCCCAATCATTGGTGTCAGTGGGAGGAATAGTGCCCCATTGTCAGTATCAGTGGAAGGAATAGTGTTCCATCATTGGTGTCAGTGGGAGGAATAGTGCCCTATTGTCAGTATCAGTGGAAGAAATAGTGTCCCATCATTGGTATCAGTATGAGGAATAGTGCCAAATCATTGGTGTCAGTGGGAGGAATAGTGCCCTATTGTTAGTATCAGTGGAAGGAATAGTGTCCCATCATTGGTATCCGTATGAGGAATAGTGCCAAATCATTGGTGTCAGTGAGAGGAATAGTGCCCTATTGTCAGTATCAGTGGAAGGAATAGTGTCCCATCATTGGTATCAGTATGAGGAATAGTGCCCAATCATTGGTGTCAATGGGAGGAATAGTACCCAATCATTGGTGTCAGTGGAGGAATAGTGCACAATCATTGTTGTCAATGGAAGGAAAATGCCCAAATATTGGTGTCAGTGAGAGGAAGTGTGTGCCCCAAGGGCCAGATAAAGGCAAGCAAAGGGCCACATCTGGCCTCCGGGCCGCAGTTTGGAGACCACTGCCCTAAAATGATTTCCAGGTCTTGGGAAAAATATCCTAAAGCCAGTTCAGTAGAAAAGAGCTACTTACATTGGTTGTCTATTTAGAAGAATGCCTACATTACAGTGGCCATTCGAGAGCCTCCCTTAGAAAGTCAAAAAGGTCTCTGATGGCATGTCACTGTTTCTGCCAAAGTGTACTGGGAAAAGTTGTAGCAAATTGAACTACATATGAACTCTTTTACCTGCCAAAATATTTGTGATTTTGTTGAGCCAGTCTTGTGATTTCCAAAATCCTGCCAGCCTATATAGCCAGATGGTGACACACCTATACAGGCTTTGTCCCTCTGCATCTTCCTCTGTCATCTCTGTTTCCTGCTGACTATGAATGTGTATAATGACTATGAATGTGTATTCAATTGTATTGTAGCTGTCTGTTTCCCCTCACATTTTAAAGCGCTTCGCAAATTGTTGGCACTATATAAATTCTGTATAATAATCCCCCTCCTCCCCAGTGCCAGTTGTCTTAAACTTGTTAAAATAGGCATGAAAAAAGTGAAGATTTCCTATCTAATGGGAAATATCCAGAAATTATAAATTCTCGAAATTTTAGAAACCTAGACATTGTGCCTAAGAAGTTCCCTGAAAAGTCCTGGACTCTCCTGTGCCTTGAGCTGTATTGCTGTATTTTATGCAGTGTGAGATCATCTAGGGCAGGGGTCTCCAAACTTTCTGGACAAAGGGCCAGTTTTCTTGTCTTCTGACTTTAGGGGGGACCGGGCTGTAACCAGTTGGAGTGGAGAATGCAGGAGAAATAGTGCCCAATCATTTGTGTCAGTAGAAGGAATAGTTCCTTATTATTGGTATCAGTGAGAGAACTAGAGCCCCACATTGGTGTCAGTGAAAGGAATGGTTTCCCCAACACTGCCATCAATTAAAGAAAGTGTGCCCCAATATTGGTGTCAGGGAAGGACTGGTGCTCCAGCATTGGTGTCAGTGGCAGGACTGGTGCTCATTGATGGTATCAGATGGTATCAGGGAGAAAAATGCCCATCGTTAGTGTTAGCAGGAGAATAGTGCTCTATAGTTTATATCAGTGGCTGGAATTATGCCAATTGTTGATGTCAGTGGCAGGAACAGTACCCCAGTGATGGTACCAGTGGGAGGAAAAGTGCACCATCTTTAGTGTTAGTGGAAGTAATAGTGTTCTGTAGTTTATATCAGTGGGTGGAATTATGTCCCAATGTTGGTGTTAGTGGAAAGAATGCTGCCTCATATCAGTGATAGGAATAGTGCCCCAAGGGCCAGATAAAGGCAATCAAAGGGCTGCATCTGGGGGCCGCAGTTTGGAGTGATCTAGGGCAGGGTAGGCAACCTGCTGCTCTCTATCTGTGTGGAACTAGTTTCCCAAGGCATTGCAAAGATTAAAGGACAGTTCAGCTATGAGAGGCTGATGGAACTTGTAGTAGCTTTCAGGTTGCCTATCAATGATCTAGGGCACTGCTGCTTCTGACTGCTAGTTTCACAAGATTTGGAGTTAGATTTTGTGATGCCACTTCTGTGCTTTTGATTGATCTCCTGTCTGGAGAGAAAGCTATAACTGACGACATGCAAAACAAAAGTGCAGCACTAACTCCAAATTAGGGTAAACTTTGAATTAACAAAACATAAATCCAATCAGGTGGTAAAGATAAAAAATGTCACTAATCCTTGGGAGGTTCCCCGACAGATGAACTTGAGTAGGATGGTGTTCCCAGAAGTAGAAAAAAGAGTAGGAGACTGAAATCAACCACCACACCAAATAAGCTGCCCTCACCAAATGATTTGACCGCCCATCAAGAACAGTCAAAATGCGCAGTATAAATATCATAGTAGAATCTTCAACTCAAACTTGGCACCACTCTCAAAGTATGGATCGGCTCCAACCAGATAAACAATGATAGTCCAGAGTGCATGGATCAAAGAAAAGAAGCCCTCTCACAGAGTAGTAAATTGATAAAAATGGGATTTAACTACTTGCCAACCGCAGATAGCCGAATGACGGCTACACTGCGGCTGGCCAGTTCTGGGAGGGCGTCATATGACGTCCTCCCAGAATGCGGGGCGCGCACCCGGTGATATCCGTGATCGCTGTGTCCTACGGACACAGCTGATCAAGTGATGTGGTAAAAGGCCAATCACAGCGGCCTTTTACCACGTGATCAGCCGTGTCCAATGACGCACTGATCACCGGGAAATGCAATTGCCGGTTCTCGGCTGCATTTTCCTCACGCTGTCAGAGCGCGAGGAAAGTACTGCCAAGAACCGTCAGTTGTCAGAGCAGGGATCGGCACCGATCATCAGGGCACTGATGATCAGTGCCCAGCAGTGCCACCCACCAGTTCCGCCCACCTGTGCCCAGCAGTGCATCCACCTGTGCCCAGCAGTGCCACCCACCAGTTGCCCACCCACCAGCACCACCCACCTGTGCCACTCACCAGTGCCCATCAATGCAGTGCTGCTAGTCAGTGCCACCACCCAGTCAGTGCCCAGCGATTGTGCCAGTCAGTGCCCAGCAGTTGCGCCAGTCAATGTCTAGCAGTGCCACCAGTCAGTGCCCAGCAGTGATGCCAGTCAGTGCCACCTATCAGTGCTGTCTATCAGTACCCATCATCAGTGCCACCTATCAGTGCCACCTTTCAGTGCCGCCTATCCGTGCCACCTCATTAGTGCTGCCATCAGTGCCGCCTATCCGTGCCACCTCATTAGTGCTGCCTATCAGTGCTGCCTATCAGTGCCCATCAGTGCTGCCTATCAGTGCCGCCTATCAGTGCTCATCAGTGCTGCCTCATCAATGCACATCAGTGAAGGAGAAAAATTACCTGTTTGAAAAATGTTATAATAGAGACAAAGAAAAATTTATTTTTTCACATTTTTTGCAGTGTTTTTGTTTATAGAGCAAAAAAAGTAAAGCACCCAGCGGCAATTACCGTATTTTCCGGCAGACGACCCCCTACTTTTCCTGTTTAAAATGTAGTGTTTGGGCTATACTCGCCGTATAAGACTACCCCTCTTCCAGTGCACACCAGTGGGAAGAATCGTGCCCCATCATTGGTGTCAGTGGGAGGAAGTAGTGCCCCAGTCAGTGCCCCACATTGGTGTCAGTGGGAGAATAGTGCCCATCGTTGGTATCAGAATAGTGCCCCATCATTGGTATCAGTGGGAGGAATAGTGCCCCATCATTGGTGTCAGTGGGAGGAATGTGCCCCATCATTGGTGTCTGGGAGGAATAGTGCCCCTTTCATCAGTGGCAGGAATAGTGCCCCATCATTAGTATCAGTGGCAGGAATAGTGCCCCATCATTGGTTCAGTGGGAGGAATAGCACCCCATCATTAGTATCAGTGGCAGGAATAGTGCCCCATCATTGGTGTCAGTGGAAGGAATAGTGTCCCATCATTGGTATCAGTGGGAGGAATAGTGCCCCATCATTGGTATCAGTGGGAGGAATAGTGTCCCATCATTG